TTGACACATATTCCATTTACCTGACAGCTTATCTAATTTAGTTCTATTATCCAAGTTTTACCTTACAGTTGATTCCCGTCAGTTTGGCTCTTTAGAATTATCTGAAACTCTAGTTATCTGAAATTCAAGTTATCTGAAATACTGAAGCAGTGGCAAAATGAAATCATTCAAATATTTGTTGCTCCAAGTAGTGTCTCGGCTGTATCAGAACCGCATTAAAATAATTACTCAAATCTTCATCTGTCTGTAGATCACAAGCAACATTTGTTCGTGCGAGAGAATACTTGAAAAGACTTTGTTCATGATGTAGCATGTCATTTCCACTGTGGGACAGCTTCCTGTGAACAGAGTTCTGAAGGGCAGCCGTAGCAAACAGTGCTGAATTTCTTGCGCTCTCAAGTATTTTTGACTTGAGCCGTGCATATAAGGGGTGCCTCTGGGTGTCCAATAGGCCTATGTTCAAATTTAAAAAGGTATTAAAAGGTAAACCAAAGTAAATATTTGGTTTCTTGCTGGAGAAGCTTACTGCATTTGAACGAAAAGCCAGTGATGGAAGTGCTGCTCCAATTGCTCCAAACTGCTCCAAAAGAGAAATGCTGCTCCATGCTGCTCCAAAGTGCAATATTTGCTAGTAACTGCTCCACACCTGCTCCCAAACGGTGTTTGCAAACTAAAAAGAATGAAGTTAAACCATGGGACCATCCCGTGAGCTTAAGTGAAACCAAAACCAAGCTGTATACACACTATCATCGTAGTATGCAACTCAGTGGCGTAAATCCTGAAAAATTGCAAGGGGCGACACATACCAGGCCATGGTGGCAAATTCGTATTTTTATTATGAGTTTTATTTTTATTTATATCAGAAATAAATAATGCTTTCAATAAAATTGTAAAAAACAAGCACAGGGTCTGAGCTCAAGCGATTGAATTGTTATATTCAGTCCCTCTTTTTCTTTACCTTTTTACAATTTATTTAGTTCACACTGCTCAAGGGCATTTATACAGGTATGCAGCAACAGATAAGGAGCCTTTTAAAATGTTGATTGTGCTATGCTTAACTGTTAGCTCAATTATATCACGTGCTCAAGCTTAATTTCAGGGGGATTGCAGGAGTCGTTAGGAACATGCATGTGCTCTGAAAACGCCAATAACAACCTTAAACTATAGCATTTTTTTCTGCTCCAAAGACGCTTAATCCTGCTCCCAAGCATCATTTTTCCTGCTCCAAAGTCTTCTCCAAAAAGCAAAATGTCGCTTCCACCACTGAAAAGCTAAACTAACTAAGGTTGAAAAAACAAGAACTTCATGTTGCTGCTGCATTAAAGTATATTATTGCTATGTCGTTTTGTGGTATTTGTGATAGACAAAGTGATACGAGAAATTTTTAAAGAGTTTAACTGCTTACTAATGTACAAAAGATGTGTTGGTAATCTTGAAAGATGGTGAGTAAATATTTTCAGTAATGTGGCAGTTCGCAGTAATGCCTGCTTCAAGGTTGGCTTACTAGGCTCTTTTGTTTCTTTTCTTCTTTTTGTGTGACCTTGATTCTCATGCGTAAACCCACAAGATAGAAGCATATAGTATTCATTTATCTGTAAAAAATAAGCATAACTTGCTTATTGTGAACCAGTGTATGAGTTGAGTGTAGCTCTAACTTCACTTTTGTTGTGTGGCCGAGTGCCTGTCTCAGTTGACAGTAGTGCCGGGACCATGCTTTCTGTTCATATTTTTTAAAATGATACTTTCAACTGCTGCTTGCATCGTTTTGCAAACTTTTTGAAGAAGGTTGCAAATCCTTATGCTTGGTCGCGTAGACACAGAGATACCAATTTTACCTTGGACAAATTGGTTGTAAATGAGTGTTGCATGTTCTTGAAACAGTCCTAGCAATGCTTCAGTGCCATTATCAGGCTTTCTAGTTAGCAGCACTATAGTGTGCAAAGCAGATCGCTGCATGTGCTTGGTACGGTGTTTACTTGAGCATAATGCAGTGCTCAAAATTTTGTAGGATGGGGAGAAAAATGTATAGTATGTCGAACTGTGAAAAGAATAGCGCATTGCCGCATTTTCTTTCGCAAATCAAAATCATATTAGCACATTTGCTGACAGTCATCTTCACAGCTGTTGCTGTGCCAGTGCTGGAACAAGATGCTATTTCCAAGCAAAATAGGAAATCCAATCCACTAGCTGTTTTCATCATGGCTTCTGAGATCTGTTAATCTGTTGGCGGTCCTTACGTGGGATACCTGTAATGTTGTATGCTGTGAGGTGGCATTTCTAGGAGCTGGCATTCACGGCCACTAACCCACACCCTCGTTATTGAGCGAACTTTTGTGGAGTTTAAAATAAAATGATGAGCCCAAATTCAATTATTTGTGGCAGTGAACGGTAGTTACACAAGTCTTGGCACTCGGCTTCGTCGGTAGGCTGCTCTAATCTTGGAGGCCATTTTGTGGAGCTGTCAACATTTCGTGTTACATAAAATTTCTACTACACGATAATTGTTCTTTTGCCAGCTCTGCATGGTTCATCTGTATTCATACTTTTAATGTTCAAAGAACCAAATGGGAAGTATCTCCCATTTGCTTTTGCCATCTTAACCTCTTGATTCTATGTCCCCTGTTAATTTTTAGTAAATGTTAGAGGTACATTTGCCATGCGAGGGCTAGCCCTTTGCCTTGCAAGGACTATCTTGAAAACAGGCTTGCTGTTATTTTTGATGAATAATTGTAAATGAAGCCACAGGGTATTTTCTGCAGTGCTCAAACCTTCTTAAGAAATTTCGCTCCGTATCAAATAGGAAAGAAAGAGTCTTTGGTGAACATGTACACATTCCATTGTAGCTTTTTACAGTCTGACAGAATAAGCACTGTCAAATGGACGATGTAGCCTGTGCTGCACAACTTGTTTGCCAACAATGTTTCATTGTGAGCAGCATTGCCTTGCCATTGAGTGTACCCCACATGTAAATAAGCTTAATTGTGTTGGCATGTTTATAAGAGTTACGATCATTCACTAAATGTTATGGGGCATGAGAGGTTGTGGCCGTACTTAATGAAGTGCCAGTGCAACTGTCGTGGCCACACGTCAATTTACTTTTCACTGGTACAATCACTGGAGGTGTGACTTTGTCATCTGCTGCAATGTCTGTACGTCATATGCCTTGGATGTATTAATGTAAACATACACTCAAACCTCATTATAACAAAATTGCACTTGCCACAAAAATAACTTCGTTATATCTGAATATCCGAAATTTCGTTAGCATAGTGTCACACTGTATTTATGGCAAGACTATTCTTCATTTACTTTGTTATAACCGATAATTTGTTATATGGCGATTTGAGTGTAGTACAATAAATCACATGTACTTGACTTGAGTAAGCGTAACCACCGTCATTCACATGCAGCCCTTAAACCCGGTTGCCTTGTTGTGACAGCTTTGCACTATCGAAAACAAGATTTTCTTCATTAAAGGTATGCTAAAGAGCAAAATGATTTCTCACATATTAGAAAAGTACAATTTCCCAGTTTCGAAAACACCACTCTTACCACAGCATGATGCTTGGTAACCGAGAAAACGCGCGAAAAGAAAATACAGGTAGAGATGCCACCTTGAGACGGCTGCACCGAACAATAACTTTTGAAGGCGTCTGCAGTGTCCTGCATAGCTTCTAATCTAGAAAAAGGAAGTACATTGTCACCTGCAGGTGCCATAGACCTAACATACGAAGTTTCGAAAAATTTCATCGAGCCAAGGTCGTGAAAATACTACAAAATACATTTTGAAATTTTCGATGACACGTGCGGATATTTTGACGGAAAGCTTAAAAATCAAAGTTCAACCTTTATTTTCTTTGCTAATAATGAACTTGTGATAGTAAAGCATATGGTGTAAAGTGCAGTTCGTTAATCTAAACCGAATCACTGTTTCTCTTTAGTGTTTCTTTGAGGTGCAGGCCTCTTCAGCTCAAATAGTGTAGCAGGTAAGACAAAGAAATACTTTAGGCGTCACTGCGACCGTACAGGCACGACAACTGCACTGGCACACACTCTTGTACCAAGTAGTACAACTGTGCCTACTCAATCACTCTTGTAACTACATGAACTTATGACTAAAGCTCCTGTCTTGCCAATGGTTTTGTTAACTTATATGTATGACACTCCTATCTTCACTTTAAGAAGATAAGTAAGCTCTCGCAGTAGAACACAACACTTTTTCAGTCACTTGCAATGAACTTCTAAGCTTGTTTGCCCATTTGGCTGGCCTTTTCTTTTCCTGTTAGACTATTTCCAAAAGTTCATATGTGTTTTACATTCTCCGACAAAAAAGGAAATTCTGTGTTCAACATCATTGCTGTAGATTGTGGTGAAAACTCGGGCTGCACTTACACAGACCTTTTAACCAGGTTGTCTATCCTCCACAAACAAACCTCATAGTAATCTTGCTGTGCTCACGAGTGAGCCTGTGATGTGCCATCTTCTTAAGGCGTCACATTAGGGCATTAGGGCACACATGCTAAAAGTAGTGTCATATGGGCATTTGATGTTATTGCCCACAATGTGCCAATCCTATTCAGTCGCAACAAACGGTAAGCAAAGTCAAGTAATAATGACTAAACTGTCTGTACAATAATCATACACTTGCTGTAATTTGTAGGACAACAAGGCTTTGCTGTTGCCACAATGTATCACTTTATGCTTGATCCATATAAGTATTTCAAGGGCATACAGGCACCTAGTCTATTTGTTAATGTTTCTTCTGCCTTTCACTCAAAGTACTGAAAGTCGGTACCTATAAATGTTTGCATGCTTTAGGACCATTCATGTTGCCCTTGTAGTGGCCTCTTTGAAAGTGTTGTAGTAAAGGAATATGTCTCTGAGAACTCATTCAAGTCAGACAAGTTTGTGCATTTCGTTGGAGTGTTTCCAGTGCTTTGATGCCATGAGCTTTGACTAAACGTAAACATTCTTTTGGTGTTCTTTTTGCATGGTTTCAGGCGGGTAACCTATGAAGACTTGGAAAGAATAGCACCTTATCGGCCTACCAGGTTTCTTTCAAGGCCGATTGCTGAAGTTAAGGCAGTTAAGGTTTGTGTGATCTTATTTTGGCTTTACATATTGCTATTGTATTGTCACGCCCAGTTACGACTCCTGTCACGAGCACTCATTATATCTGGAATTGTTGTAAGTGGCCTCAATAGTATGCTATTCTGCCGTGACATGTACAAACATGTCGCAATGAAATAAAGTATAGCAGTCGCCACAGAGCACTGCTTGTGCGTTTGAGCAGAAAGGATTGCTACATACTGAATATGCAAATAATTTATGATGTGAGTTGTAATTGTAATCATGTGCGATAGTTATTTCACAGAAAGCATCGTAAATCAGAAACAACTTGACTGTAAAACATTGGGTTGAGACCTTTACTATTTATCCAGCATGGCTTCCAAAGCTTTTTTTTTTTCTTCTAGCTATGAAATGATGTAAAAGCGTGGCCAAGTTTATGCTGTCTCATTCACTGCAAGCTTTGGAAAGAATATACAGCAGATGGTGAATGCCCGCAGCCTTTTATTTTTTTCTTTACCTAGCATCATTTTTTTGCATGTCTTTTTTTTTTAGAGTCCTGATGAGAGGGGCTTCGGCGTTCAAATTCTCGAGAGTGCCTACCGGTTCACACTTGGCTCCATCGCTGGCGGTATGTACTTTCTGTGCATTGTTGTGGCAAAGAAGCTTTTCTTTTTGAGGTGGTGCTCGTGATACTGTCTGCTAGATGGACCAGATAGTGTTTGATGTTCTGTTTCTTGTTGTTGTTTGTTTTAATCTTTATTCAGCATAAGAAGGAATGAAGGAAATGATACTTTTAGCTTGGCGACTCGGTTCGTACTTCAAATTAAAGCTGAAATGCGCCATATGACTAACAAGGACAGAGTAACAGTGACACTGTAAGATGGACAAAGTCGGTGTCAGTCTTATTGCGTCTTTTTTGGCCATATCCCACATTTCAGTTCTGATTTGAATGGAACAAAACTGTCACCATAAAAAGTTGTTCTCCTGTAACACACTTAATTAAAATGTCACAGATCTGGCTTTGTGGAAAATTTGAAATTTCATTTTGTTATTAGTCAGCTGTGCAAATGAATTCCCAGCAAGGGTGAAATAATTTTTTACTGTAATATGTAAAAATGTGAAACTTGTCATTTTGGAGTACCTTACTAAAGGAGCACTGGCAAAATTTTAAGGCCTAGCAAACAACACTTTTTGTTTTCTTCGCTTGCAGTGTAAGTCCTCTTCATATAACAAAGCCAGGAAACACACTTAAAATGTTTTAGTTTGATATTACTATAGTTTTGTTGCAGAGGACAACTAAGCTAGCCCCACTGCTATAAATATTATCATGACTAGTAAACATTATTAGCTATTTTTGGGAATTCTGCATCCGTCATGTGAGCAAAATCGCTCATTTGGAGGGAGCAATGGAAAACAGAGCTGCTGTCCTGATGTGGCTTAGGTTTACATTGCACTGTGTGAAAATGTCATTGTGAAACTGGCCTCTCAGTATCGAAACGACCGAAAGTGGTTTTTAAGGTAGTAGTAGTTTTTAAGGTAGGCATCATGGCACTCTTTTTAGGGTTCTCAACACTAGTGTTTTTATTTTGAGCAACAATGCAAACACTTATCAGATTCGTGTCAATACTTCATTTACACTCACTTTGCTGGTGACATCAATCAATCAAGCAATCAATCAATCAGTTTATTGCTTATAAAATTCATAGAATTGTTGGTTATTAATATACAGGTAGGACCCCAAGCTCATTGAAGAACAGTTGCAGGGGTCAGTGTTTTAACAGTAGTAGTTAGCTGACCTACAGGGAAAATATTGGATACAAGTGCAGTGAAATACAAAAAATACATGCAATATTCATATAGCAATTAAAAATACATATAAATACAACAAATAGGAATAATATTCATGAATTCAAGTATGGCTGTTGTAGTTTTATAGGTGAACGCAAAGAAATTGTTTATACTGATGAAATGATGAGGATGCTGAGATGGTTCAAGGTAACGTGTTCCAGAGTTTTGATGCAATATAACACAATAAGTGTGATTCGTAGTTAGCCCATTTCAGCACTTCAGTTTCTTGTTGCGATGAAACTTTCTTCCCCAATCACTGGCCCACCAGCCAATTGAGGCTGTGATTCTGTAGGACACCATTTGAGAGATGGCTGGTTCAGGGTGATGCAACTCGGGCTTGTCCTCATTGCAGCGGCCGGAGCTACGGTTGTGTATCCCATCGACCTGGTGAAGACTCGCATGCAGAACCAGCGGACAGGCTCCTACATTGGTGAGCTGATGTACCGCAACAGCTGGGACTGTGCCAGTAAGGTGATTCGGCACGAAGGCCTGTTCGGCCTCTACCGGGGCTTGCTGCCGCAACTGGTGGGAGTCTGTCCCGAGAAGGCCATCAAACTCACGGTGAGTCACTGTCGGTGAAGCTGGTTGAAATGGTTGCTTTCCGGGAGGGGAGGGGGGGTTCATTATGCATTTTTATTATGCTCTCATTTGTTTAGTCCTATGTCTCTCAGGCTTTTTTTCCTCCTGAGGAGTGAAGAGTCTTATTGAAATAAAGCCGTAAAACAAAGATATTGCAATTATATATGTTAAATATGCACTAATTAGCAAGCATGTAACATTGTTTTATTGTTGTTTTTATAGTGTTTATGCATTTGAGCTCTATTTTCAATTTCATGAGTGTCACGAATTCCATTTATAAAAACTTAGCGCTTGTCAGTGTGATATCTGTGGGCTTATACGAACAAGCTTGTGAAGAAGTTATGGCTATACATAAGTAGTGTGTTGCTTGCTAGCCTTGCCCTGAATCTCAAATCCTCTCTAACAACTTGTTTTCATTATCCCTAAAAGGGGCATAGACTTACACAAATTTTTAAAAATATGCCTGCCTCCTTCCGTTCTTTGCGCAAATTTCATTGCATATTTCATGGTCCTGACCATTGACAATATACTTGGCTATGCTACTGGCCTATTTTTTCAAGAAGTACTGAGAGTTGGGCTTCTGGGAAGTAGGTTTTGTCGAAATATGTTACCGTATTTACTCGCATAATCGGCGCACTCGCATAATAGGCGCACCCCTAGTTTGGGCGCGGAAAATTCGATTTTTTTTAATTCCGCGCATAATAGGCGCACCCCGAACTTGGCCGTGATCAGAAACGATTCTACCCCCCAGCGGTACAGTTGGAACGCGGTCCCCGTACCCTGAAGAAAAAAAGAAGGCAAATCGACGAGCAAATAAAAAAAATTCGAAGTGCAACGACCTAACCAACGTGTTTGTCGAAATAAAACTTGAAAAAAAAAAAAAAAACGGCTGTTTCATCAATTACTGATACCCCCCAAATCGCCACGCTTTTTGGACTTCCACAGTTTTGTTATAAAGCTCCGACAGCAGAAAGACTTCATTTTGTCCCAGGTCGGCAACGCTGATCAGACCCCCCTTTGCTTTGATATGCCGTGGAACACGACAGTGGAGGAGAAAGGTGCACGGAGCGTCATCGTCAGAACGTCTGGCGCTGATAAACAACAATGCACCGTAATGCTGACGGTGACAGCGGATGGGCGTAAGCTACCGCCTTACGTTATTTTTAAACGTAAGACGCTCCCAAAGGCAAAATTCCCTCAAGGCATCTACGTCAGAGTCCAGAAAAAAGGCTGGATGAGCGCGGAACTCATGGTGGATTGGGTGAAAACAGTCTGGGGTCGGGGGCTGGGTGGTCTGTTGTTGCCGTCCATGCTTGTCCTGGACAGTTTTCGTGGACACCTAGTAGACCGCGTACGAGATGAGCTAAAGGAGCTGCGCACAGATCTGGCAGTGATTCCGGGCGGCCCTACATCGATACTGCAGCCTTTGGACGTGTCCTTGAATAAACCTTTCAAGGACAATGTTCGAAGGCTGTACACCACCTGGATGGCTGGAAGACAACATCAGCTGACTACAGGTGGTAACATTAAGAGGCAGCCTGTGGAAATGCTGTGCGCTTAAATCGTGGAAGCGTGGCAGGCGATCTCCGACGAAGTCGTCAGGAAAAGCTTCAAGAAGACGGGTATCTCGAACGCACTGGATGCAGGTGAGGATGACATGTTGTGGGGTGCGGATGATTCGGACACCGAAAACGAATCCCCGCTCGGCGAGGATGAATGTGTGATCTCCGACTCGGACTCCGAATAGGGAAAAGGAGGAACAGCTACGACTTTTGTGTAAATAAATTTTACGTGTGTGTGTGCAGTTGACGGCTCTCGCTTGTTCATTAAAAGGTACGTAGGTATGTTTGTTTTATGCTGAATTAATTGGTAAACGATAAAGTCGCCTTTTACTTGACAAGTGTGCAGATTTAAAGCGCGAGAACCGAGTTGAAAAAATTTTCGAAAATTTTACCCCGCGTAATTGGCGCACCCCTAACTTCAAGCCGGATTTTCTTAAAAAAAAGTGTGCCTATTATGCGAGTAACTACGATATATCATTTTCAAACCTAATTGTAGTGTTTATATAACATGTAAATCATTCAGTTACGAAGCATTAATGACTAGATTCGGGGTGATAGCATACTGATATTTGCAGTCATATTTAAATGGTGGCATTGTGTGTGTGTGTGTATGTTGTTTGTCCACTGCAGCCAGGTTGTTGTGATCGTGCAGGTCAACGACTTTGTTCGAGACAAGCTGACCAGTGGGAAAGGAGAAATTCCGGCATGGGCTGAAATATTGGCTGGTGGATGCGTGAGTCTCGCTTCTGACATTTGCTGTGACAAGCACAAAATTATTGTGCTTCTTCAGTACAGTTACAGCATGGATCGCTAGCCATATGCTATCTGTAACAGCAGGAGTGCTGAGGGGTAAACTTGTGTTGGCCAAATTGAACAAATCGGTGAAGCAAGCAAATGATCCAAGTGAAGCTTTCCTGCTTTATATTTTTTTTATCCGTAAATGCTTGTTTCAGTTTTTTGCAGCAAATGTATTCGACGACGAATTTCTATTGTGTGTGTGCATATGAGAGTGAAACTTGGGTTGAAATATAATAGCTTCTTATTATGTAATCTTCATCACATTGTAGGATCGCTTTTGTCAGTGACCTCGTAGGTCATGCATCTCATAGTTGCTGCACCCTAAGTTCTAACATGCGCTGTTATTTGCATATTTGAAAAGCTGTGAAACGTTATGCTCTTGACTCTTAGCAGCCTGGTTTTTGTGGTCAAAAAGGGGAAATAGCATTTTGTAGTTACTTGAATAGAGATAACTGCATCCAACACACATTCTCTGTTCCTTTGAAATATATATATATAAATATATATATAATATATATATATATATATATATATATAATATATATATATATATATATATATATATATATATATATATATATATGAGTGAAAAAGAGGGGCCTCAGCGCCTCAGGGGCATCGCCATCAGTATAAGCTCGTACTTGCTGCGTTTGGCAGGACGCCGCTGACTGCTTCGCCTTCTGCGTTCTGCTCTGCAAATAAACCCCGTTACAAGTGGTGAAGTTTGCTGGGTTTCGATCACCCTGGAGCTTCGGAATCGCATTTTACGGTCCATATGTTTTCTATGTACCGGCGAGTGAGTACTCACAACAAATGGGATGGCGCCGCCAAGTTGGCCCACGTCTCCTTCTACCTGTCAGACGTGGCCAAGCTGTGGTTCATAAACCACGAAGCGGAACTCCCTACGTGGTCTGTCTTCAAAACGAGACTCACACAAGTTTTCGGACGGCCTCAAGTACGCAAACGTCGTTCCTAACAACGCTTGCATGCTCGGTCTTAGCAGCTTGTGAGAATTTCACAAGTTACATTGAGGACGTTCTGGACCTTTGCAAGCGAGTCAACGAGTCGATGTCCGAAGAGCTTAAGATCAAGCATATCATGAAGGGCATTGAGGACGACACTTTCCAAATGTTGCTTTCTAAGAGTCCTCGCACTGTCGTAGAACTGACCGAGTTATGCCAGAGTTTTGACGAGTTGCACAGGCGTCTTTCCACCCAACGTCACTTGGTGCTTGACGACTCTTTGTCCAGCCTGTCCACTCTTGCCATAGGAAAAGACCATGCCCCTCTTCTCTCCAAGATCCAAGAGTTCATCCGCGCTGAGGTCGCTCGTCAACTCTCTTTGATGTCCTGTGTACCCTATCAACCATGCAGATTGACGTCTACATTCCGCGACTTCAGTCAAGACCAGGTCGCACAAGTTCTTCCTCCCACCTGTAAACTGCCACCAGTGGCCGCACCTCTCGCCTACGCCGAGGCCGTTGCTCGACCTTGACAGCCTGCGTTCCAGCCAGCGCCTATGTATTCAGCCAGCGCCTATGTATTCGCCGCCGCCCTATTCGCAGCCGAGCTATTCACCGTCGCCTATGTCGATACCACCTCGACCGCAGTTTTCTGCCCCCCAGCCACAACTCGGCGTCTACTCCGACCATTGACGGACCTACGACAACTGTCCGATATGTTTTGTTTGTGGCAGTGTTGGCCACGTGGCGCGTTATTGTTGTCGTCGCCAGGCTGCTCAGAACATTCTAAGAATGCCTTCCTTCGACCCTCAGTTTTCTTCTACGCCTTCAAGCCCTCATTCCTCTTTCTTTCCCTCCGATCGTCCACTCGGCCCCAGCCACCGCTCCCCATCTCCACGTCGACGTTCGCCTTCCCCTATGCGTCGCCGTTCCGGACCCATCGAGCAAGAAAACTAACAGCTGCAGATCCCGAGGCACAAACTGCGTCACCCTCGCCATGCACAAGTCCTCGCTCCTGTCCAGCTAACGTCATTGAAGTGTCAGTCGATGGTATCGTCGGCATGGCGCTTGTCGACACAGGAACCGCTCTATCCGTCTTTTCTGCCCACCTATGCCGCAAACTCCGCAAAGTTCTGACGCCATTATCTGGCCTCTCTCTTAGAACGCTAACGCACAAAGTGTAACACCTCTCGCATCCTGTACCACACGAGTCGTCATCGAAGGGATTGTGTATATCATCGAATTCATAGTGCTGTCCTCGTGTTCCCATGACATGATACTCGGCTGGGACTTCCTTGCGAATAATAATGCCATCATTGACTGCTGTCGCACTGAACATGAGCTGTCTGCACTTCCTGATGTTGACGCTGTCGAAGCCTCTCTGCCGTATTATAAACTGTCTGTTTCTGATGACACCACCGTACCACCGCGCTCTTCTCTGCTGGTGACTGTATCGTGTGACGCTATTTCCGACGGTGATGTTCTATTTACGCTCTCTGCCCTGTTCATTCAATGCGAATGTTCTCCACTGCCCATTTCTTTCCTTACTCTCCACCATGGCGTCACGAAGACGCTCATGTACAATACGCTAGAAGTCCTTTACCTTTATTCCTTGGTGAATGTATCGGTCACGTGCATCCGATCGACGCCCGTCACATTTTTGACGCTCTGCCTAGTTTACTTTCTACGGACCTCAGCGCACTCATTTCTCACTCTGTTGTTGACCACTCACTTCTTGACGCTTTCCACCGCACCATCGATGTCGCAAAGTCTTCTTCAGAACGAAGCCAGTTGGTCAACCTGCTGCAAAAGTGTCGCACTTCTTTTGACAGCCACGCTTCTGGCCTCAGTCGCACATCGAACATATCTCACAAGGTTGACACAGGAAGCCATACGCCTCTCCCCGCAGGGGCGCCTGCGCAAGTAGGCGTTTGGTGTGTAGCGACACCACGGACCCAAGCTAACGGGGGGTTTCGGCTTCCTCCCATGCCTAGCCGTGCGTGGCTTTGCCGTGTCCGGGGAAAAGGGGATCCTGGGGGTTGAGCCGACACTGGGTGATTGGACCTTTAAGGCCCCCCGGCAGAGGCAACACACCCCTTTGGCCCCGGCTTCACGTAGACGGCACCCCTGGGCTGACCCCTCCTGGGGAAATCGGCAGTCGCCTTTTCCTGTCTCTCTCCTCCCACACCTTCGTCTTTTTCTCACACTTTTATCTTTCCTGCCCTCTCCTCACTTCTGTTAACTTCCGATATTCATGGCGGCAAGGGTTAATCTTGTGTAGGTATCCCACCTTGGATAATTACATTGGGTTATAGTGACAGCGTGCGGCTGGCGTTGGGAGGGCTTGTTTCAACAAGTCTAACCACGTTTCCTTGTTGGGCTCCGTGATGAGTGGTCGCCGCTGTTACCGAACACATTCATACTTTTATGGCTTTACAAGCATCCGCCGACCTTGATCGGTCTCGTAAGAGAGGCCGCACCTAAGCAAGTTATCACTTCTCGACAGAAATTAAAGTTACTTTCGCGAAGTACCACATTATTCACAGTGACAGCACACCTCCAAGAAAATTATCCCCATTTTTGGTGGCCAAGTGCCTAAAAGAAAAAATAGGACCCATATACAAAGCATCCAAAATGTCAAGCGGTGACCTCCTTTTAGAGCTAACTGAAAAAGACCAAGTGCCTGAGCTATCGCAACTAACCAGCATTGGAGAAACAGCTGTCACCGTTTCGGTCCATCGTTTTCTAAACACCAGCAGGGGAGTAATCTCTGAGAAAGACTTCTTAGGCCTTAGTGACGAAGAGCTCCTCGAAGGATTCCAAGACCAAAACGTCATAAAAGTCCAAAGAATTGTAATCCGTCGCAATAATCAGGAAGTGCCCACCAAACCCGTAATACTAACCTTTCGAACAAGTGAAATGCCCACCTCTCTTAAGGCTGGGTACTTAAAAATAAACGTCAGACCCTACATTCCCAACCCCAGACACTGTTTCAAACGTCAAAGATTCGGATACGCCTCGCACTCATGCAGAGGCAAAGAAACATGCGCAAAATGCAGCGCAAACGACCACAAATCAGAAAATTGCTCATCCTCACCCCACTGTGTTTACTGTGACGGGGAACACCCAGTGTATTCCCGGTCATGCCCATGTTGGAAAAAAGAAAAAGAAGTGATCTCTCTGTCCGTCAAACAAATATCATTCAGCGAAGCGCAAACACTGCTATCATACCTTTTCCACAGAAGTTACGCCGATGTGACGCAGTCGGGGGCAGCATCACAAAGGCCTCAGGAGTCGACCGCTACCACACCCAGTGGTCCTGTGGTGACTCAAACCGCCCCCGTAAAAGAAGCAGCGCCAGCTGCTCCATGCACATCAAAGGGCCCGCAGACTCCGGTCTTTATGGGCCCTAAACTCAATAGAGTGCCAAGGCCTGAGATCCGTTTCTCAGCACCCCACTCTCGATCTGCCAGTGCCTCAGACAAGGCAATGGAGATCGACCACAAAACTCCGGTGTCATCGACACCGAAGGACAAGCGCTCTCTCGAGCGTACCAAACAAGACAAGGACAAAGTCCCAGTAACCACAATAAGTAAGCAATAAGTAAGCGGTAATGGTTATCATATTTCTCTCTATTTCTGTTTCTTAGTATTGTCACCTATCATCTTTTATACCGATCAATCCCCAGAAGTACATTTACTTAACTTTATTCCGCCATGGCTTTTATCGTACATTGGAACTGTAGAGGCTTAATTCATAACTTAGGTGACATAAAGGACATCATTAACAAATTCTCACCAGTAGCCTTTTGCCTCCAAGAGATAAATCTTGGTGCAAAACACGGCCATTTCCTAAAAGGCTTCAAAGTTGCCCGAAAGGACCGCGAACATTGTCTTTTAGGAGGAGTAGCCATAGTCGTGCATGGCAGCACTCCTACGCGAGATGTCCAAATAAACACATCTTTCCGGGCCGTA